AAATGCTTATACTACGAAGATAAACGAGAAACTTACCCCACACGATTAAGACTATTTCTGTTTACACATATAATAACCTCTAATTTGTATTTCTAATTATACTAACATTTTTTATAAATATTTCTCCTTTATATTTCTCCCCTGGTATTCTACCTTTTTCCTTTCTTCCTCCACAAACAACACCACCACCACCACCAAAACATCAATCCACCCGCAGTTCAATTTCTTTCTTTCTCTACAAGAGTACTCAAGATTAACATCACCGTACACTTTCAAAATCAGCGACACATCTGCGTGATGCACTAACAAAGCTGCCACCACACTACTAAAGGGGAGAAGTATGACAATTGATTCCGGTTAAAGGAGATAAAGTCATATTAAGCAGTGGCGACCCGAGACCGACGAGTCAGATATGTGACTCTCCAACCGGCGATGACTGGTTTGTGCGAGGCTCTCCGGCAGAGGCATTACTGGCGACCGATGTTATAATAATGAGTGTAGAATTAATTATGCCAACAAATATCTTGCATATTGATTGCTCAGATGATGGAATCTCCACCCAACCAATTGATTAATTTGGTGGTTAGCATATTAGAGCATCCACAATGCATTGGGTCTAATTTTACATATGTAGCATATAAATAGACTTAAGTCTTAAATGACATGGACAAACCCAAGTAAAAAAACTCAAAAGTTATTCAATGCAAAAATAAAATACTAGGTCTAGCATACATGCCAACCAATAAAAATATTCTAATATGTTTCATTATTAAAAGAAAATTTAAATTAAGAATAAATGATGAGTGTTTGGGTTTGTACTTGAGTCCAAAATAGACCCAAGTGTGGATTTAGTCTCTTTTTTTTATTGCCACATAAGCTAGACTAGGTCTACTTTTAATTGCATTGTGAAACATTTTTGTATAGACTATGTCTATTTCCTACATGGCATGTGATTTTTTGTTAGAAACCCAAAGCATTGTGGATGCTCTTAGGTGGTTGACTTGCAATCGGTGATTAATTAAGTGGTTTGGTATCAACCAATTCATTTATTAGTCCAACCATATTATTATTGCTATGCTCTCAATCCCATCTATAAATAGAGGACTCGGTGGAGAGGAAAAAAATGCACAAGAAGAAAAGGGAAGAAAGTGAGAGAAAATGAAATAAAGAGATATATAAATAATTTTGGAGGGATAAAAATATCAGAGGGAAAAATATAGAAATATTTATTTGTTATCGAAATAACAAAAGAGTGATATTTTTTATTCCTATTTTTTAAGTGCTCAATTATCGACTTCGTTTCAGTTCGCCGAAGCTCGTAAATCTGGTGTGCTACAGATTTAGAGACGTTTGCCGTTGTATCTTTGGGGAAGTTACGCCTGAACCGTTAGCTGCCATACGGGGAGTATTCTTCTTGCGGAAAGAGTTTTACTCGCCTCGGTTTTAATCTTTCCGTTTTGATTTTTTTTTTTTTTTTCAGCTAAAATTTATTTTTCAGTTCAATTATAATTTTCTATTTTTAGAATATTTGTAAGAACTGAAAATTACATATCAGTTCGTAGGATTCTAGTGTAATTTTTATACACGATTTCTAACAATCGCAAGAAGAATAACCCAACCTAACTGAACTGATGGCATCCACCGGAGAAGGTTCTCAACATCAACATTCGGTCAACCCAGTTTTTAATAATCCTGTACGAGCTCCATGTCCCCACTGCCGAGAAGCCCGAAAATTCAACGGAATTGATTTCAAGAGATGGCAACAGAAGATGCGCTTTTACCAAACCACCTTGGGTTTGGAAAAGTACCTGGAGGACGATCCTCCAGTCATTGATGAAAATGAAACCAATGCTGAACTACACAATGCGTACGATGCTTGGATGCAAGGTGATTACTTTTGCTGTAATTATGTCCTGAACGGACTTAGTGATGAGTTGTACAATGTGTACAGCTCGGTTGGTTCTGCCAAAGCGCTTTGGGCTGTTTTAGAAAAGAAGTACAAGACCGAGGATGCCGGGGCAAAGAAATTCGTCGTCGGAAAATTTCTTGACTTCAAAATGGTTGACACAAAGACCGTTGTGTCACAAGTGCAAGAATTTCAACTCATCTTGCACGATATTCATGCTGAGTGAATGTCTCTGAGCGAGTCATTCCAAGTTGCGGCTGTGATTGAAAAATTGCCGACGGGTTGGAAAGACTTCAAGAACTACCTCAAACATAAGAGGAAGGAAATGAGTCTTGAAGACTTGATTGTTTGTCTTCGTATTGAGAAGGACAATCGTAATTCGTCGGGGAAAATTTCGATGATGAAGGCTCGTGCTAACTTGATAGAGCAAGGCAACTCGAGCAAAAGGAAGTCCCTAGACAAAGGGAAGCAGCCTGCCAAGGTTTGGAAGTTTACCGGAACTTGCTATAATTATGGAAAGCCGAACCATATGGCTAAAGAGTGCAAGAGGCCAAAGAAGGCTGGGCCAAAGAAAGGTAAACCGAGTGCCCTTGTGGCTGAACATGGCCCTGTGCTGGGTGAACTGACCGATTTTGATATGTCGGCTGTGGTGTTTGAAGCCAATATGGTGGATAACCCAAGGAAGTGGTACATCGATACTGGTGCCACTCGTCATGTGTGTTCCGATAAGGAGGTGTTCTGTGAATACACTCCTGCTAAGAGTCGAAAACTTTACATGGCAAACTCCGCCACGGCTGATGTGGCTGGAGTGGGCACTGTGGTGCTGAAGCTGACTTCTGAAAAGGAGTTGAAGCTTAAGGATGTTCTGCATGTCCCAGACATCCGCAAGAATTTGGTCTCCGGATCTCTTCTTGTTGAGCATGGATTTAGGCTGGTATTTGATGCTAAGAAGTTTGTTATTAGCAAGTTTGAAACTTTCCTTGGTCGTGGCTATCTCGACAAGGGTATGTTCAAAATGAATGTAATGGCCAAGAGCCGTGTAACCGTTGATAATGAAAAGCCTATTTCTGTTTATACTGTTGAGTGCTCTGATTTATGGCATATAAGATTGGGACATGTAAATTTAAATGCAATTAAACGGTTGATGAATTTAGAATTAATTCCTAATTCTAAATTTGAGACAAATACAAAATGTCAAATTTGTATTGAAGCACAAATGACTAAGTTGCCTTTCCACTCGGTGGAAAGGAGTACTGAACTATTAGGCTTGATCCATACTGATGTATGTGATATGAAAAGTGTGCAAACAAGAAATGGTAAGAAGTATTTTATTACTTCTATCGATGATTGCACAAGGTTTTACTACTTATATTTATTAAGAAGCAAAGACGAGGCTGTGGAAGCATTTAAAATCTATAAGACGAAAGTTGAAAATCAACTCGGCAAGAGGATTAAAATAATTCGAAGTGATAGAGATGGAGAATATGTAGCTCCTTTTGAACAAATATGTTCTGAATATGACATAATTCATCAAACGACAGCCCCTTATTCTCCACAGTCGAACGATGTTGCTGAACGCAAGAACCGTACGTTAAAAGAAATGATGAATGTCATGTTGATAAATTCAGGATTACCACAGAACATGTGGGGGGAAGCTGTTTTAACATCAAATTATATCCTGAATAAAATACCACTTAAAGGGAAAGATGAGACTCCTTACGAAATGTGGAAAAATCGTAAGCCGTCTTATAAATACCTGAAAGAGTTCTGAGGAAGCGAGAGGTTTCTTGAAGACAATTTTGATTATATCGCTTCTGCATTTTATTTCTTGTTACTACATTAAGTTGCACTCGTACACTTCCCCGTACACTTCAATTGGCACCAGAGCTAGTACTTATTCTAATCACAAGTTAAAGACAGTGGACGGAAGGAATGGGGAAAATGAACCACGGATCCGGCTCATTTGCTCGACCCCCTTACTTGGATGGTACAAACTATCCATACTGAAAATCAATGATGATGATATTCCTTCGGCCTTATGGCAAAGGAACCTGGAGCATTGTTGAGACAGGGTGGACACATCCTCGATTGACCAAAGCTCAGAAATACGACAAAGATAAAGCTGGCAAAATCAAAACTGTGTTAAAACCTAGAGACTTATGGGATGATTAAAACAATGCTAAAAAAAAGCTAATTTTCGAGCAGTCTACGCAATCATGTCAGTCATTGTTCCAACTCATCATAAAATTATTATTCAATGTTCAACAGCTAAAGATGGGTGGAAGACTCTTATAAGACAGTTTGAAGGAACAAACTCGGTGAGAAACTTAAAACTTTAAAAGATTACGTATGAATTTGATGACATCCGCATGAAGGATGACGAGACAATCGACATTAACTATGCAGAGTTCTGTGATATTTTCAATCAAAGCTCGATGTTAAGCGAAAAAATCTTGGAGATGAGAAAAGTTTAGAAAATCATGAGTACACTACCAAAGATGTTTTAGGAATAAATTACAACATTTGAAAGTTTCATGAGAGTCCAACCACTTGGCATTGATGATCTCCTTAGAGACCTCAGAACCTTTGATATCAATTGCAGATATGACATAGTTAAAACTATAAGGATAGCCTTAAAGACCAGTGTTCCTTCCTACGCAGATGATGGAACTGATGAGGCTCCTGAACTTGAGGCTGAGGAAGCTTACGCCCTACTTACCAAGGCCTATAATTATATCCTGAAGAATATTCAAAAGAAAAGGTCTAGAAAGCAAACTTTTTAAAGTGCGGTAATATTGAGTATGATTTTAAGAATTGATTATTAAACGTGTAATTTAGGGGGTAATTGTTTACATATTTAACTAAAAAAAACTAATTAAAACTCAAATTTAACTCAACCCCACTATCCTCAATATTATCAATATAATTAAATAATATCAACCAATCATTCTTACACATCACACCAACTTTAATTCACTATTCATCCACTCACATAATTTTAACTAACTATTACTTCTAATCATTTTTCTCTTATTTTATATTAAATTAATATTAATTATTCTAATGTATCCACTAACAACTAATCATACTACTTTTTTTAAAAAATTAATTATAGTTAAAAAACAAATCAAATAAAAAATGTCATCGGTCGCCTCAAGGCAGACTCTGCGATGCTCCACGCAGTAAATTGGTTTTGATCAATTCCCCCATGCTATTGCTGTAAATTGGAAATTATTGTCTCCAATTCTCCATCTTACATCACATCGCTCAAATTGCGAACCGAAGATCCATTCGAAAGGCTCGAAGTTTCGTGGTTTCTAAACCTAATTGAAGCTCCCACACGCATAAGCATACGACGAGGGCTCACATTCGCATGTCACTGGTATTTGATTTTCTGTTGTGCATCGATTTGTATCCAATGTCGTTTTCGAACTCTGTTTTTCGCCTTTAAACATTCGACTGTTATGGCTATGTTCTGTCACTGATCATCAATTGATTTATGTGTGCGTGTGCGCGCGCTAGTCAGGTAACATGTTTTGATTTATTTGCATTACTCTTTATATAGCAAGACTAAGGGAGTTTTTTAGGTTGTTTTATTAGAATATGGGAAGAGTGTATAGATTCAGGGATTTGAACCAAGAGAAAGTGAGAAAGAAAATGTGAAGTCAATGAACTTGGATTATATTGCACTTTCTTCTAGGAACTATTCAACTCTAGTTTGATTAATCAATGAACTGAAAGATATCCTTTTTTCAAGAGCTGAGCACTTTGGCGCATGCTCTAGGACAGGACCAAATGACATTTACGATGATATGTATCGTGTTTGTGTTGGCACCACTTTTTTATGTTCTGGTAAATCAAGAGTCCATCATCAAGTTCCACACTTGGATAGCTACTTGAGCGTAAATAATTGACCCGAAGCTTTGATGAACTGCTCTTTCAGTTTCTGGGATATTCAGGGATTCTGTATTGGCCATAAAGTTATTTTTTATCCACTAAGTCTTATCCCTTTGTTCTTGAGAATACCGAACTATATATTGAAATAGATTTACAAGCATCATTTAAGTCACATGTCTAAGTAAGTCTTGATTTTAATTATTGTGTAGGTGTGAGCTCATTGTAAAGATGGTTAAGCTGACAATGATAGCTCGTGTAACTGATGGTCTTCCTCTAGTAGAGGGACTGGATGATGGTCGTGATATGCCAGATGCTGACTTTTACAAACAACAAGTGAAGGCTCTGTTCAAGAATCTCTCGAGGGGCCAGAATCAGCCATCCAGAATGTCAATTGAAACTGGGCCATACATATTCCAGTATCCTTTTTGAAAACGTAGTTAGTTTTTATTTTATGTGTACGAATTCTATAGTTAACTGATGTAATCTCTCTCTCTCTCTCTCTCTCTCTCTCATGGATACTTAGATTTCATGTTTTTTCTCCTTAGATGCCTTCAAAATTTCATCTTATGGAAAAAATGAATGCATACCGATATTTTAATCTAAAGCTGTCGAACTTCTTTACAGCTTTTAGTGATAATTTAGAAATGAATATGTGCCGTATTTACTCCCATTACTTGACCATTTAAATGGAGAATTTAGCAATGGGTTTTTGGTAACTTCATCAACTTCTACTCGTAAAGCTTTCAGCTGGCTACCTGGTGCTTTTTTGTTTGCATTGTGAAATCTTTCTTGCTATGTGTGTGTATTCTGATGGTTGCTTCCACATCATTCCTTTAGGTGATTTTGTACCTTTTTCTGTTCAAAGTGGTTCAAGTCTTGATTTATGTTGATGGTATATTTTATCCTCCTGCATTGGAGAATGTTAAGAACTTAATTTGGAGCCTAGCTATATCATTGAAGGGAATGTATGCTACTTGACTACATGTGACCGTGCTTATCCGAAGAAGCTTGCCTATCAATATCTTGAAGACATAAAGAATGAATTTGAGCGTGCATATGGAAATCAGATTGAAACTGCTGCAAGACCATATGCGTTTATAAAATTTGGCAAGTTTTTATCTCTGGTCGCTAAATTGTTTATGCAAGTACTGTTTGACTTTGTTTTCTGATCACTGGCTTCTCTTGCATATATCAGACACTTTCATGCAAAGGACAAAGAAACTATACCAGGATACAAGAACTCAACGGAATATTGCGAAGTTGAATGATGAACTCTATGAAGTTCACCAGATAATGACCCGCAATGTACAAGAGGTCCTTGGTGTTGGTGAAAAGTTGGATCGTAAGTGATGTTTTTAATACTACAGAATAATGGGGCTGCCTTTCTCTTCTTTATCGTTTGCCCGGTGATTTGTTTTCCCGTTGAATATCTGATGTTATAATTTGACAATATTGGATTCTGCAGAGGTCAGTCAGATGTCCAGCCGCTTAACTTCTGAATCCCGCATATATGCTAAGAAAGCAAAAGATTTGAACCGCCAGGTTAGTTTTGAAATTCAATAATATAAAACAAGTTCCAGTCATCAGACCTTTATCTAGCTGGTCCTTCTGAAGCTTTCTTTAAGTGAAACGTAAATTAATTCTTGTTGAAGTTCTATTCAGAAAATATTTTACCATTGCTTTAGGCTTAAGTCGTATTTGTTATACTCAAAAGGCAAGGAGCTTTATTCAACACCTTTTGAATTCATATATCTGAATTTTTCTGTCAAGTCCTCTCGTATCATGTCATTGAAGTTCCTTACATTTGCTTGAAGGTCCTTTCGAGTAAATTGTTGATCTTTTATCGACTGTAGGCTCTAATCCGAAAGTGGGCCCCTGTCGCTGTTGTTTTCGGAGTCGTTTTCCTACTGTTGTATGTCAGAAAGAAGTTTTGGTGATGCTCTACCATTTGATGGGGCTATTTCTGTATTTGAATATTCTGTGCACTATCCAAGTGGAGATTCAGTTTTACAAAGTTGACAAGAATGTATTCTTATATGAGGATACGATAAATTTAACCTTGTTGGATAACAGGAGTTTTTTTTATTAAAAGAACCCCCGAGCCAATGGTACACAGTTTATTTATCTATACATGAACTAGTGATTTATGCCTTCTCCTTGCGTTGGTATATTTTTAGCATGATGATCTTTTGACAAGCATTTATTTTTTTTTGGTATTTGCACGAATAGTATGAGAAAGTTTTGCATGGCCTTGTGTCCGATGTGATTTATTTCGGTTGGGTGCATCTTACAGGGCTGACATTGGTAAAGAATTGGAAACTTAGGTGAACTTAAAGAACAGTTAAATTTTATTCTGTATAAAATTGGTTTTTCCAAATAGAAAACGGTTATTAAATTTTATTCTGAATTAAATACAATTCTATTCTGTATAATTCAGTTCTCCTTTATTTGCCAAAAAAAGAGGAACATCTCATAAACGTACTCAACGGATGAATTCCAACCTCAATAATTTCTGACCGAAACTTAGATATTAGAGTAAGGGATGAATTCCAAAAAACCTTTCTTAAGATCAATCTACTAAAGAAAAAGAAAAAGAACAAGAAGAGGAGAAAAAAAATCCTACATTCATGAATGCAATCGCAAACTCTTCTTGTGTGTGTTATCCTCGTGCTTCAATATCTTACATGTCAAACTCTGGTGGTTCTGAGCAATTCATTCAGATTTAGAGTTTTATCTATGTAGTTATTAGTTCTAAATTCTAATATCATAAAATACTTATTTACTTTTAGTATAAATATGTTTTNACAACTTACATTCATAATTTCATATTGCATTAGATAAAATAAAATTTAGATATATACCTGTATATATAATTAAATTCACCTTTAAATTGAAAATATACTTGTTTTCTCTAAATTGAAAATTGATAAAAGATTGATACGTATATAATTATTTATTAAAAATATTTATTATTAAACTTTCAATAGCATTGCCATTTATATTTTATTTAAAAATAAAATTTTATATTATTAACTAAACTATAAAAGATAAATCACTAAATTTCATTTATTTAAAAAACATTGTAGAATTTATTTTAGGATTATTTTATTTTTACTTAGTTAATAATTTGTCAGTTGTATTATAATTAATTGAGAAATTTTTTTTACATGTATCGGGTCGGGTCGGGTCGGGTCAACAGGGGTCGGAATGAGTAAAACTCAACTTTAAGGATTCGGATTACCCATTTACCAGGTAAAACATGACCCAAACTCGAAGGTACTAACCAAGTAAGAGGTAAGGTTATAGTAGGTAAATTATATTCGGGTCGGGTTTAGATTTGACATACTTAATCTAACCAGGGGTGAAACCAGAAAATTAATTGACAGGGGGCAAAAAGACATGGCAAAAAATTTGGGGGTGCAAAACATAATTTAAGAGGGGGCAAATTAAATTTTTTTAATTATAATAGTAAAAAAAATTAAAGCAAATTAGATTTTTTAATTATAATAGTAAAAAAAATTAAAATTTGAGGGGGGCAATTTCCCCTCCTATACACAAGGTAGTTTCGCCCCTGAATCTAACCCTCGGGTCGGGTTATATATCTTTCCTCATCAAACACAACTAGTACTACCTTGGGCTGATCATTCGATCGAAATCGAACCGAACCAACCGGAATTTTCTGTTAACCGAATATTCGATTTATCCATTATAGGAACCAAAAATCGAAACTAAATTTATGGTTCAGTTTGGTTTTTAACCGAATATCCAGCTTCAGTTTGATTCGATTATCTATTAATCACAATAAATAATTAACATTAGTAATAAATTCTAAACTTTTAACTTTTTTATTATCTTGTTTAATTTTCTTAAAAAATTTCAAATTCTAAACTGAACCAAAAACTAAAATTTTAAGAAAATCTAAATCAGAAACAAAACAAAATATTCGATTTAATTTTCGATCCAAACTGAATTTTCGATTTCGGTAGTTTCGGCTGGGTCAACCAAATTTTGTGCACTCTAGTATGTACCATCGCCTCCATCTCCCCCTTCCCCCATTCCTATATATATTGGGTTCGCTAACATAGAAAATAAAGATTGCACGGATCCCTGTATTCTTATTCTTTTCTTCTGTCTGGTTTGTTTATTTACTAGTACAGAGCCCGTGCGATGCACGGGATGTACATTTTTAAGGCTATTTATCCAGGCTTATAATTATATACATGAATAAAGAAAGATGTACGGAATATATATAGTACGTGACCCGTGCAAAGCACGAAATATATTTATTTAGAGAATATTATATTATAAGATGCAATATTCAATAAAAGTTTATAATACGCAAGAAAATTATACAATGTTCAATAAAAGTTGTATAATATTCAAGTGGAGTCTTAAAGTCTCTTGTACATTAAGACTACTGACAAAATAATATTTTAATCAATGAGTTTTCTTTCCTTGTAGCCAAATTGTGAATGTGATTTGAGGAGTACAACAAATCGATATATAGCTGACTTGCTTTTTTCATTGTAGTTTTTTTTTTTTTTTTTTTTTTTATAATGAATTTAAAGATATTCTAAAATATAGCAAAAATTAATTTTTTTATTACAATTAGGAATTTTACTAAATATAAACTCTCAATCTATGGTGTTAATCAACGTTTAAGTCTAAAAAATTAGGAATTTTTACCTCTTTTAATCAACGTTTAAGTCTAAAAAACAATAGAGTTATTATAAGTTTTTTTTCTACATCTTTTAAAACATTAAATATGAGCATGTTAGGGCTAGCTTGTAAAATAATTAATATATTATCTCACTAAAACATTTATACTAATAAAAATTTAATTTTAGCATATAAATTTATCCCTTGATATAAGAGAAAGTAACAGTTTTACTTATTGTTGTTCACCATATAATATTTAATTATTATTTTATTATATTAAAAAAAAAATATTGTTAAATAGTGTAGTAGAATTGTTATAAAATTATATATTTTTTTTTTTTTTACAATATGGATTTAATATTTTTTTATGATTTGATAATATAAACAAATCTATACTTAACTTTGACAAATAAAACAAACAAATACTTTAGTAAGTATTTAATGTATATACTAAATAGGAATATATTTGGTATAATCAAATACCAAATATAATCAAATAAGTCAAAGTGTACATTTTTATTTGGTATTTGATTTTTTTATTATTAAAATCTTTTTATTATACTTACCTTTTTAAAATAAAACAAATAAATAAAACAATTAAATAAATAAAATATTATAATACCAAAATAGTAATGACATTTAATGCAGTTGACTTTTCTGGATAGTAAATATAGTAAATAGAATCTCTTTTTATATAAGTATAGATTGTATAATACGGAAATAGTAATGCAATAAATGTTGTTGACTTTTCTTTATATTAAATCTGGTAAATGGTATACCTTTTAATATAAGTATAGATATATTTTAATTAACTGTCACGTGGTGAGTATAATAATAATAATATATAATTTATTTAATCAACTGATTACGTGCATACTATAATAATAATAGTAATAAACAATGGATAGCACACGTTTTGAAAAGTTAAAGGCAATCAATCAATTCACATGAATTATAGGTGAGATTAATGAAAGGTGAGATAATATCCGTTCATTTATATAATCTAGTGTGAAAAGGACATAAAAAAAAAGTTTGAAAAGGACATAAAAGTTACTAATTTTAGTAAACATTTAATGCAGACAGGATGTTGACTAAGAATTGGCCTACTAATTTTGAAAAAGGTTAATCCCCTCTTAATATAATTTGAAAACGTGCTGAGCCTAAATGGCTGCTTTGCACGCTTCGTAAGCTTACTTGACAATATTACATGCTTTGGCTTTTGGTTCGGATACATTCACTAATTGTTTAAAATAAAAATACATGCTTCGGCTTTTGGTTCGGATACATTCCCTAATTGTTTAAAATAAAATACATTCCCTCATTAAAAAGAATTCTTAGATGCCGTGTAAATTCTCAACTCCAAATTCTTATCGTATAAAGAAGATAAATTGGCTTTATATATTATTTTATTTATATAATTAATGTAAACAATAACTTTTTTATATAGTTTAATTTAAAAAAAATACTATAATTTTACAAAAAAATATATAGCCACTTGCATATTATATCTTTTCAATTTAACCATAAATAAATTATTTAAATATTTTTAGAATATCTATAAAAATACATTGAAATAGTTATAGAATATTATATGATCTTTTTATAGAATATTTTTTCTATTATTTTATATTTTAATTTTTTTTAAACAACCCGTGTAGTACACGGGTGTCAGTACTAGTTCTTATTATATAAGTATAGATCAGAGTTTTATAGGCAGATCGCTAATCGATGTATAGGCTTATTACTGAGAGAACTCTGTGGTCACCTGAGATCCCAGAGTCAATGGTGCGGCAGCCACCGCCGCCTCGACTACCAAAGGCTGCCAGTAAAGACGAAGCGGACGCTCAGATTGCTCCCTTCAAATACCTGCTTCCACGCGATCACCAGGTAAGGTAAGGTTAGGTTAGGTTAGATCTATATAAATAATTGGTATTTTTTTAGGTCAAAATCTCAGTTTTTCCCCACCATATGCAGATTATTGGTGGACGCACATTCTACCCGAGGAGGTGTAGAAGGAAGAGGCCAATTTCAGACTTAGACTCTCTATCCGATGAATTGTTAATGGAAGTCCTTGCACGCATCCCAGGCAAAGATATTTACGAGGCAAGGCTTGTTTGCCGCAAATGGTACCATCTCCTTCACACCCGTGATTTCATGCGCTTCTACTTACAGCACGCCACTTATGGGCTCTTATTTAAATGTTCATTTCTGGGCTCATATTTAATGCTTCCACAAGGAGGGGTCCGAGTCCAGATTACTAAGTTGAGGTACAAACGCAGGCCCATTGTCACAAGTAGTTGTAATGGATTGTGGTAGAGAATCAGGTAAGCAATTGGGATAATCTGTATGTCATGAATCCCACAACGGGCCAAGTCGTTCTTCTCCCTCCACTTGTCAATGGTGTTCAAATTGGATTTCATGCAATTGGGTATGTACAGGTTTCCATGGAGTATAAAGCTGTTATATTTTGGCCTGCTAGTGAAGCATACGAAAAGAGGTACTGTTTTATATTAAACGTTGGAGTTGATAAATCATGGAGGAAAGTTGAATTTGAGTCAACAACACCATTGCGAATTCATAAGTTGATGATTTCTGATGGTTTCATGCATTGGACTCATCCCCCTACCAACCAAGTCTTGACTGTGAATCTGGAGACTGAAACTTTTACAGATACCCCTGGCCCTATCCCTTTAGGTGGAATTGTGAATGTAAATAATATTTACCTTTCGACTGGAAGGTATCTGTCGTTATTGTGTCGTTGTGGGGATTATTCGTGGGAGGTGAGTCGACCTGAAAGGGGGGAATGGAGAAAGAAGGCAGATTTTTCATTGGAGGCTCACAAGGGAAGATTCCAACAATTAGGTCTCGGACATGATGAGTTTTTAATCCCAGTTGGGTGGGTCAAGTATTCAGAGATGTTGGCCCTGAAATGTGACTGTTGTTTTTTTATACAATCTTGTCGCAAGAATTCGATAAAATCGAGTTACCTTTCAACATTCCTATGTGCAAAATTATAGTGCATAAGAGTAGTTTGGAGTGGTTGGATGCTGCAGTGTAGAGGATATACTTTTTCTTCTACCTTTTCTAATGTGGTCGAATATTGGGGAATTTTAGTGATTTATGTTAGTATATTTTTTAACATGATCTTTTGCGAAGCATTTTTTGTTGCCTTGCACGAATAATATATGAAAGTTTTGCATGGCCTTGTGTCAGATGTAATTCATTTGGTTGGGTTTATCTTACAGAGCTGACATCGGTAAAGACTTAATTCAACAAATAATCCAATCACAGAATATGTGGCAGAATAACTATTGAAATCTCTACTATTCAAATAATATGACCCACATATTGCTGTCGCACCAAATACAATAAGTACATAACTGAAAAACCAGTAACCGCTTTCTGTCAGCAGACTAATAGAAAATTCAGGAAATTCGAAACATGAAATTTCCTGAAAGCCTTCAGGTGAAATAGAATCAAGCACAATAAATTTCTCCTCTCAAACAAGTTTGCCAATCTAATAGTATCAACAGTCAGGGAGGTGATAGAAAATAGTAAGCCAAAGAATTAAAGAAAAGAAAATCACCCACACCTTCAAGAAATAAACAAGGCATCACACCAGACAACATTAACTCACTCCTAATAACAACTCAAAGAATCAACTCAGCACACATAGAAAGAAGGCAAATTATCTAAAAAACAAAGAGAAACAGAGCAGAAATCATCACATGGTATCATAAAAAGAAAGGGACCTTAATGTGCACTTTTGTGAAGTGGCCGCCAGTTTACATACAACAGCACCCATAAACCCAACCAACACAATAACAACACGTACGAAACATAGCGTACCCAAATCACGGCACACACAAGGACAGAACACAAAGAAACCCTAACAAGTTGGTCAACACTATTTTTACCGACCTTTAACCCACATTTCTTCTTTTTCCCCATTCACAAGCTACTGTTCGAATACCGTTACTGCCCGACAGCCTCCGGAAGGCACAGGCCACAAGAGTCCCGGCGAACATGCTAAACCTCGACTTATTAGGCAAACGGGCCCCATTACTCGTCGATGGAGCATCCACATTGACAGGCCCACTTACCACAGCTGGGAACTCAATGCCGTATTCCTGTACACCCCCGTCGCTCGTGCTGGCATCCAGGGCCTCGGGCTCTATCTCGTCCGCATCCAAATTCACGGACAAAGTCACCCTCCTTGCCCTAAGCCATTCGGCAACCTCACTAGTAACTCCCCTACACTTCTTGACCTTGATCTTCACCAGATTAGGGCACCCGAATGCGAAAGCCTCGATCCCGGTATCCATCACACGACAACCCTTTATACAAAGCTTCTTTAGCGCGCTACATTTAGCCGCAATACACACGATCTCAGGGTCCCAATGGATTCGCTCCCGCAAAGAGCTAACCTCTCCAGCTTGTGGCAGTTGGAAGCCACAAGAAGTGTGACCAAGATGCGAGCCCCACTGCAACCGAGAGGATACCACAGCGCTAAGGCCCCACCATTTACATTCACTTTCTCCTGCAAAATAAACATTTTTTTTTTTTTATTCAAAAAATGGAATTTGCCTATCTCAACACCAACAGGATATAAAAATTTCACCAAGAAAAATTCTTGTTTAATAACATACTAATAACTTGTCTATGGAATCAATAAATGGGGGAAAGGAAAAGGAAAAGGAAAAGAACTCATTATCTTTCAAACTTATAGACACCCAATTTTGATATTTGCTTCGGCTTTACAAAATGCACCTTCACGAATGAAATACTTGTTCAGGGGATGCATTCAAGGGATAAGGTGTCTGTTATTAGCTTGTGGGTGTATCTACAATTTCAAAGGATAAAAAGAATTTCCTGTAATTCAGCTAACTGGGGTAATTCCTGTAATTATCCTTATTTAAGTTGTTTGCTATTCGTCACTTTTCTCATGTAAACCTCCACCCACAGGGCAGATAGAGATGGAGTTAAGAACTCACTGTACTAAGACCCAATAGCTTCTGATTCGCAAGAGCCACAACCTGCAAAAAATTACAGTTTTCTAGTAAGACCTCAAAACTTTTAACGGGTAGACCTTTTTCTTGCTTAATAAAATGAAGGAGCAAAGCAACATACTGCAAAGGTTTCATTGATCCCATAATAGTCTATTTTGGAGGCTTCTAGACCAGCATTTGAGATCGCCGTGGGGATTGCAAGTGATGGGGCAGTTGTGAATAATTCCGGTACCTGCTCCACATTTTCATATGCAACCATCATGAATTGAAAAGAAAGTGCAGAAAATAGGACTTCTACAAAATTCACACACACACACACACACACACACATGAAAAACAAGAATAATAATGTTCACTTACATGAGCTGCATCGGCATACCCAGAAATCCTTGCAATGACTTTGAGTCCAAGCTGCAGAGCCTTCTCTCCACTTACTAAAACAAGGGCAGCAGCACCATCGCTGAAAATGATGGTCAAATTCAGTAGTCAACAAACCCTTCGAACATTCTTGTAAAATCTAAAGGAGAAACTTGACTCGACTGAGGAAAGGAAAAAGTAAACTAATATCCACTAAAGAGGTGAAGGGACAAGAGACCTTATGCTGTACCGCCGGTTTCCTTGAAACTCGGTCGCAGCTTCCTCAACTTCGCAGCATCAAACTGATCAGAAAAAATGATTTGTTAGTGCACAAGAAACTGCAGAGGGTAAATTCAAGATTACCATGCGCATATTTTTCCAGAAGCAAACTAGAAGTCTATAAGGTATCATAATAGCCTAATAAGTGGATATAGTGGTTCTTACTTCTTTTTCCCTGAATTCCAAAATAAATGTTTATGAACTCATGTATAGGGGTCTGACTTCTAATGTGGAGGAATTTTCCAAACATTATGGCTTTATGTTATAATTTGGTCGAAATAAGCTAAACAGCAGAAATCTAGACAGTAATTAGGTATACACATAATTGATGAATTCACCTTTCCGAGACCTTCATCTTTATCAACGATAGTGGATGATCTTCCTCTTCCCCCAGAGACCTCAACCTGCGGGCACAAGATTAGATATTCATAATGCAATTAAAAGAGACAAGCGGAGTTTAGAAGAAAAAGTCCAGTTATCTTACTGGAACAATCTCCCATGCAAAAGCACCAACCTCTTGAGCTGCAATTCCACGCTCAAAGCTTTGGACTGCATAATCATCCTGTACAGATAAAGCAGCATAAACATGAAAACCACTGGATATATGCATCAGAGTAAAACTGTAACAAAGCCACATAACAAAGACAAATGGCTTTATAACTTTTCTGAAAAAAATAGGGGAGGGCAAAATTTCAGAAATTCCGCCAATATGGGCACCATATGGTACCATAATCTTCACGATCTAACGCCTAATATTCATTGTGAAATTGATAGAATGAATATTAGGCGTTGGATCGTGAGATTATGGCACCATATAGTGCCCATATGGGCGCCATAGAATTTCTGGCAAAATTTGGTATCCACATAATGAATGTACATAAAGATGTACATAACACTCACATGGAGTGGGGTCCATTTAATTTTTTATTTTTAGTGGGTCCCACTCAATGTGAGTATTATGTAAATCCATATGTACATCTCTATGTACCTATAGCACTTCTCGTAATATTTTAATAGGCGAGGTCAAAATTTGGTATCAACAAAGGTATATTAAAAATATATTTTACAAAAGAATTACACGAAAAATATTAAACACTTATCAAATAATAAATTATACAATTTAGGTGGAAATTTTTTACTAAATCACATAATTGATCTTGCAGCCAAAATTTTCATATTTGGGTACAGTCAATTCACATCATTTGAGTAATTAAGGTATCTTAAAAATGAATTTGCCATAAGTGATTATTTGAAAGATACCATAAATTTTTAAATTATTTTGAGTAATTAAGGTATCTTAAAAATGTATTTTTATATGGCTTAATATTAAGGTATCTTAAAAATGAATTTGCCATAAGTGATTATTTGAAAGATACCATAAATTGTTAAATTATTTTGAGTAATTAAGGTATCTTAAAAATGTACTTTTATATGGCTTAATTATTTTCTTAAATAATGACCCGCAATTTCCATAACTGATTATTTAAAATATACTATAAATTGCAAAATTAATTTTTTAAAATAGTAAATATATTTTTTTGGAGGGAAATAATTACTATATAGAAAATAATCAAACCTTTTTATATATACTAGTATGAATCCCGTGTGATGCACGGGTAAGAGATATTCGTTAATATTTATAAATAAAAAATAATCATTAAATAATATTTATAAATTAAAAATACTAAATCGATATGTAATAAAATTTACCTATGAGTAAAAGATATTCGTTAATATTTATAAGTTAAAAATGCTCATTAAATAATATTTATAAATTAAAAATATCGAATCAATATGTAATATATTTTAATTATATTAATTAATTGAAAATGTTATATGCAATTTAATTATTTTACATAAAATGTTACATAAAATTTAATTATATTTTAATTATATTAATTAATTAAAAATGTTACATAAAACATGTCTATTTAAAATTAGTACACAACCTGTACGGTGCACGTTCTGACAATAAATTACATTATATTCATTGCAAAATAAGTGTCATCTTAAAATTTTTTATTCTGAAATTCGATTTGGCTACAATGTGGAATTCATAAAATAAATATTTTGGTCAAATTTGATAATATATTTAAAAATCTATGTGAATAATAAAATAATTATAAAACTCAAAAATTTCAACTTTTATTAACCAATATTTGTTCATATCACATATTATAATCAATATTTTATGGCAACTTTTATTAACCAAAATTTCAACTTTTTTTAACCTATATCGTTCAACCAATCTTCCAAATTATAATAAATATTTTATGGCAAGTTATTATGAGAATAAGCTAAATTTTGAAGATCATATCACATTAATTTTATAACAAATCAACCTAAAATTTGACTTTAATATTCATAACAAATAAAATTCAAACAACTTATTTTGTTTTCAAAATTTTCAAATACACTTCTATCAATATCAAATAAAATTCATATAACTTAAATTCGGACATTTCATACCAAAGTAAAATCGCTCACTTTATACCATAAATCGAACATTTATTAATATCAACACATTTCCTACAAAGTATAAAAATGAGTGACTACAACACAACTAGGTAATCATTCATCTGCCTCCGGCGGTTCCTCTCAACGGCAATATGGGTCATCCTCTGGTTCTTCACCGCCTTCGCCCGCCGCCTCTTCCGCCACCGGCGCCTCGTGGCGCCAATGACGATGATGATGTTCGTCGGATCTGTGGCCATTTCTCCATCTTGATGTGAGTTGGGATTCGTTTATGGATCGAGTTCTCCTTGCCTATGACTAGGATAGGTTTCTTTTTCTAAAGTAAATTTGTATTTGAGGAGTTGATTGTAAATCATTATTTAACTTTAAATAAATAAGATGCGTATTTGAGGAGATAATTGTGTATCATAGTTTAAATAACTAATTTTCACGGATTTATCTTGCGGGATTGTTGGGACAAAAACAGAATAATAACATAAAATTAAACAGCTATTAACATATTTTATGGAAATAAAATCAGAACTAATTATAAGATTTTGAAATCATTATGGAAAACAATAATAATTCATATTTGAATCGATTTTTTCCTAAACCATACAATGGCCGCAATGTTTGACCAAAATGATTTTGTACATTAATTGCATTGATTTTTTAATTTGAATTTCAATTGGCCGCCATTTTTCAAAATTATTTTTTCTTTTTTCATTGGATAATATAACAACAAAATACAATAAAAAGAAAATGAAAAAAATAAATATTTTAGAAACCAAAAATCATATAAACATAACAATCTACAAATAGAAAATGAAAAAAAATAAATATTTTAGAAACCAAAAATCATACAATGTAGTTTCAAATTTCAAGATTGTGCAACTATTAATTTCGGCCACACAATATGGCTATTTGAATGGANTACCATTTGATTGATTTTCTCACCATTTGATTTTTTAATTTTAGATAAAAATCGTTTTGTTTTTTTGTCAATATATTATATACCAACTTAAATAATGCAACTAATAAAGGTAAGAGCCGCAATATTTGACCAAATTGATTCTGTACAAATATTAAATTGACATTTTTTAATTTGAATTTCAAAAAACTGACCGCCACTTTTCAAAATTTTCAAAAAAATTACTAAGAAAGGTAAACGAATTATTTAGGCGGGAATTCAGTTACTATTTCAGGTCAATGTCAGACCTTTTTATATATATAGATATAGATATGTCCAACGGAGTAAAAATATTACAAAGAAGGAATAAAATTATTTTAGAAATGAAATATTATCTATACTTATATAAAAATGGATCATATTTACTACAAATAGTATCCAGAAAAGTCAACTGCAATTAATGCTATTACTATTTTCAGCATGTATTTTATTTAATTATTTTATATTGAAATTAATGCAATGCGATTCAATTAATGCTATTACTATTCCCATACAATCGGTTTTCCTGCGAAAAATCCCACAAAATCGGCTTTAATTTTTTTGTATATTTGAAATTTCCTTCTTATCTTCTATTTGTTTTATCCCATACAATCCGTTTAGTCAACAAAATCCCATAAAATCGTTTTAAACTTTTTGTAGATTGAAATTGAAATTTCCTTCTTATCTTTTTACCAAAAATATTATTATTTATGTATTGAAATTCTGTAGTCCGATATCAAATTGTATCGTTAAAAATATATTATAGTTATATTATCAAATCATAAAAAGATATTAAATCCATATCGTAGAAAAAAATTTATATAATTTTATAACAATTCTACTACACTATTTAACAGTACTCCTTTTTATTATATAATAAAATAATAATTAAATATTATATAGTGAACAACAAAAAGTAAAACTATTACTTTCTCTTATATAAGGGATAAATTTATATGCTAAAATTAAATTTTTATTAGTATAAATGTTTTACTGAGATAATATATTAATTATTTTACAAGCTAGCCTTAACATGCTCATATTTAATGTTCTAGCTAAAAAAACAACGCTGGTTAAAAGATGTGGAAAAAAACTTATAATAACCCTATTATTTTTTAGACTTAACGTTGATTAAAAGAGATAGAAAATAGATAATAACCCTATTATTTTTTAGACTTAAACGGACAAGGGTGTGAAAATAACTCATTTAATATCTCTGTCCTGTGCATCGCACGGGGTACGTACTAGTAATCAAGGATATGATCTACTTGTTGTCTTTTATGATTCTTCCATAACTTTATTTTAAATAACATAGGGCTGATCAGAAGCTGATTTATTGGCCTCAATGCCCTCCCTCAAACTATGTTGGGGTCGTAGACGTAGACATAGTTTGGTCTGAAGGAAACCAAATACGCTTTTGGGCAATAACTTCATAAAAATGTCAGTGGCTTCGAGTTGCGTCGGAATATATTTGGTGATGAGTTGCTCGGTTGCAACTTTTTCACGAACAAAATGATAGTCAAGTTCAATATGCTTGCTACAGGCATGAAACACTGGATTAATTGTCATATGAAACGCGCTAATGTTGTCACAATGTAGGACTGGTGTCGAATTTAACGGGACGTGTAGATCTTGTAGTACAAACATCATTCAAGTAAGTTCAGCTGCAGTATGAGACATACACAATGGTAGCCTAGAGATCTACACTAACGCACCCACGAACAGACAAACTAAACAGTCCCATACGGGAGAATCGAACCAGTTTCATACGGGAGAATCGAAACAGTCCCATACAGGAGAATCGAGCTTCTACTGAGAAGAATAAAACAAAAGGCCAACAAGGCAACCCAAAACACTACACAACACAAACACCAACAATATACAATACTAGAATAAGACCCTCCTCTCGCCGGCAGACAATCCACACCAATCCATGGCTCGACACCTAGAGACGTCAGCACAAGGGAAAGAAACCCAATCCAAGAAACCGAACCAAAAACTCCAGCAAGCGGCTAATTGGAACTGCAATCGGACCAAATTCCTCTCCCGAACGGCAACCCCTAGACCAACACCAGAGAACAACTCCTTTCTCCCCAACTCCCAACCACCGACCGAGACCACATCCCAAACACACGAGACACAACCAGCCCCCACCAACCAACATCACCGGGAAACGGAAAAGGAGAGAAAAGGACATATACCTCAACCCCGACCCCCTTACCAGAGAAGGTCGGGACCAGCCGATCGACCAAATTTGGCGCCAACCGAAACCCGCTCCACCACCCATAGACGACCGGCGAGTGCGGCGAAGCTCTACATCGGGGAGGGGGCGACGACTCCTAATGGGACGAGCAGCTCGGGCTGGTGACGGCCGACGCCATGGCACCTTGGATTGAGCAGCAGAGAGGAGATGAAGGCTCAGCTACGACTACGAAGCTTCCTGATTTGGGGAAAAGGGTTTTCGCGATAAGAGAGGAGAGAGGTTTTTGAAACTATGGACGAGACGGTCGGACCTCATTAGTCGCAATGCAATTTTTCCTAGTTGTTAAAGCGAAATTTACTAAGTTTTACCGCCGAATATTTCCACACGATGTCGTTCTCTTTTATTGTTTTCTTCCTTACAAGGCGGCATCGTTTTAGAAACATGTCGTTTCTCTCATCGTATTTAAATTGTGTGCGCTACCCGGCATTCTGAACGAATTTTTTCAGAGTTTTCAGCATTTTAGTGATTATCAGATTCCAACATCAATAGGCTCCTCTACCTTCCAAAACGAAAAAAATCTCTCGTTGAGTTTCTAAATGGAGCTAGCCATTACCATCGGTACGCCCCCGGCACCTTCAGACAGAGAAGCTATCGACCGCCGCTGTGAGGAGGCCTTGGCGGCGTCCCAGCAGGGGAACCGCGAGCGCGCTAAGGAAATCGTTCTGGAGATTTTTTCTGATGTTTCATCGGCGTTGGGAGAAGTTCACCGCGTCCAGTCGGTGATATATTCGGTTGCTGCTGCTCTGGCCGCTGGAAATGTGGCCGCTCGAGATCTGGTCGCTCGAGATCGATACAGAAATTTAGCTTTTCAGAATGCAAAGATTGCCACGCATCTATCCCCTGAGAGCTCTCATAGTGCATACCTTTGTGCTTCACTGGTGTTGACCGGCGCTAAAGACATGGAAGAGCTGAAACGAGTGCATGATATTTGTGAAGGTTTCCTCGTGAAATTTGAAGATGCTGTTGCTGCATTTACTGGATTAAGTCAGCTAGCAAAGGTCAAGGCCCTTCTAATTACTAATTTTGAAACTGAGGATATGTGGTTTACGTTCGATCGGTGTAGTGCAGCAGCTAAGTTGGCCAAATCAGGAAACCTTGAAGATGTTATTCCACTGTTAGGACCGATTAAGGAAGCAGTAGAATTATACTGCTATAGTCTAAGCTTAGAGGAGAGAAGTGAATTAACCAGAATTCGTATTCCAGATATGATGGAAAAATATGAAACATTGTATGACGGGAAATTCTACCTTCTACTGAAGGAAAGCGTCTTTCTCTGGAAAACAGGAAAGGTATGGACAAAATGGCTTTGTCCATGCAATACTGAGAAGTTTACTAACATTACTCTTTTCGAGCACCATATAAAGGAGCATTCGGGATTAGGAATGACAAGTAAGGCTGTGGTGGATGAAGCAGATGGCATAATAAATGATGATTGTTTGATTTTTCAAGACTTAGATTATAGTGATATTTTTGGATGCGACTGCTACTTGCTGGAGTCCTGGAACGATTATAAAAAGGAGAAATGGCTCACTGCGGCTAGTACTCTTATGTCGCTAAAGACAGAAGCATCGCGTCTGGAAGGCCTAAGAGGGAAACTAGTCTCCAACGAGGTTTGAAAATCTCTATCGTGTGCTTTCTTTATTTGCTTTGGAACTCTCGTGATCCTGTTATTTCATCAAGACCGTTTCTGTTGTTTATATCAAGAGTATGGCATCTTTAGTATGAGCATGAACATAAAAGAGCAATAAATGAGAAGCTCTAAAAGAGGTGACATGATCTGATCTTCATTTAATTGAATGAGCTGCTGCTTACAATGTTCCTATATATAGCTAAGTTATTGCCCGTTACAATTATATCATCCACACACACCAAGAGCATAATGCAAGAACCTTTATGGAATCTATAGAAGAGGGAATTCTCAGCTGCAGAGCAAAGAAAGCCCTTGGTGGTTGAGTCATAAAAATTTCTTGCTGAAGATCTCCATTCAAAAAAAGCATTGTTGACATCCAATTTCCTCATTTCCCATCCAAAAGTAACAGCCAAAGATAACACAGTTCTTATGGTTACTGATCTCACAACTGGACTGAATGTTTCATAGTAATCTAGACCAGCTGTTTGAGTGAAGCCTCTTGCAACGAGTCTTGCTTTGTATCTTGCTATGCTTCCAGCTGAGTGCCTTTTAATTCTATAGACCAACTTGCAATCCACAATGTCCTGATTTACTGGAGGACTCACCAACTTCCATGCATTATTATCCTCTAGAGCTTTTAGTTCATTCTCCATTGCTTTCTTCCAATTTGGATCACTAAGGGCTTCTTCAATATTCTGAGGCTCCTTTTCATATTCTGTATGAGAAAAATAGGCCTTTGGTTTGGAAATACCAGCTTTTGCTCTAGTGATCATGTGATGTCTGTTGCAAGTGGATTCATTGGTTTGATGGTGCTCAGAATCAATATTTCTTTCAATAGGAGGCTCTACTATAAGAGGAATTGTACTGTGAGTTCTATGAAAAGAGTGGCTGTGAGAGGAGATAGAGTGAGAATTTAAGGAAGAAGGACTTTTGCTGTGGTTGTTTGAGTGTGTTTAAACAGGAGAATGGTCATGGTAGGATTGGATAGGTGAAGAGTGAATTTTGTGGTGTTTTTTGATTGTAGGAAACTGAATCACAGGAATTTGAGTTACAACTGTCTCATTTTCAGACTTTGGAAAGGAAGGTTTTTGATCTTTTTCAGTGTAAGGAAATTTGTCATCATAGAAAACAACATTTCTTGTTATTATTGTTTTTCCAGAAGGAAGAAGGATTTTATATCCTTTATAACCAGGACAGTAACCAAGAAAGACAGAAGGGGCAGACCTAAATTGAAGTTTATGATCGTTCATAGGTCTTAGATGAGGAAAACATAGGCAGCCAAAAACTTTGAGAAGTTTGTAGTTTGGCATCTGATACCGTATCAGAGCAGGCTCCTAAAACCTAGCTCTGATACCATATCAGAGTATGGCATCTGTAGTATGAGCATGAACATAAAAGAGCAATAAATGAGAAGCTCTAAAAGAGGTGACATGATCTGATCTTCATTTAATTGAATGAGCTGCTGCTTACAATGTTCCTATATATGGCTAAAAGATACAAACCCCAGAGAGCTGCTCTGTCATTAATGACAGCTGCCACATATAACATAAGCAAAAAACAAAATAACAAGAAAAGATGCTGAGGAATATTTCAGCCACATCAGCACACAGTGGACCTTGTTTCACATCTCATCAGTAGGGTCATGCACACTCTCCATGCACACATATAATTCTAACAACCCCGTACGTCCTCGTTCTCGTCCAATTTGTCAGGCATGCTATTAGTGGTTCTGTAGTAGCTTCTATTGTTGCAGATATCTTTTAACTTGGTTGATGTTTTTTCTTCTTGTGTTTTTGTTGTGGACAAAGGTGTTGCTTAATGTTTTGTTGCTGGTTGTGTTTGGTTTAGAGGGGTCTTTGTGTAGATCCCTCATTCCCCTGCTCTTGCTCTTTGTAGATTAGGTGGCTGTTGGGTGTAATCAGTTGATTAGTCGAACTCTTGTGTATTTGGTGCTGAGTAATATATTTGTTTGTTTGATGTTTGAAAAAAAAAAAACTTTAATACTTTGTGTCTATGTGCAGGGTAAACAGTGCATTAGACGAATTAGTGAACTTCAAAATCGTCTTTTTGAAGACTGTTCTTATAACTTTTACCCAGTCATCACAACCTGTGGAAAGATATTTCTGCAGGTGAGAAAATGCAGTCACATTATTAATTGTTTTTACATAATATATTTTAAAATTCTTTTATTTTTTTATGCAGTCTAAGCTTAGAAATGGTGTCGTGGAGATGGTGAAGGGCTCACTTGGCGATGAAGCTCATATACTCAACTTGAAAATGTGGCTCCCTCCGATGATGAAGATAGCTAACCCATTCCTAGGCAGCCCAACCAAAGCTGAAACACGAACAACAAGAAGAGGTACCATTTTAAAATGAAATTTGCATTTTGTAAACGTAAAACAAAAATTGAGAATGCATTTTGAGCCTGCATATGCCTTTCGGTTGAATGGAAGCTTCCAATTTGAGTTTGCGTAATATACTGTTCAGTTGAAGACACTCTAAGTTCTAAAGTATTGAACTTTGGCTTTATTAAATTAGTCTGAGTTGAAAATTTACAATTAGACTTCATGATTATCAGCACATGAGCATTTGATTTTCATTTTTTACATTTAATTATGTGAATATGAGTAGCTCAATCTTGTAATATTTAATTATGTGATATGTCATAATTAATTTTGCTATACAAAAGTGTGTGTTCATAAATAAAGAAGATATCAAAAAACATAACTAATATATCAATTTTATTGTTTTTCGCAGACTTCCAGTCTTATGTCCATGGGCGAGAATGGCCGTCTTGCTGTTGGCAATATTTTTCCTGGGCCTTTCATTTGTCCTTTCACATAAAGAGGACTGCAAGGCTGCCAAGTGGCGCATGAAACTTCCTGGTTTATCTCTTTTTATTCAAGTTATTATACCCATATTTGCATGCATCTCTGCATTTATTTCAGTCCACAGGAGGAAGATATGGCGAGTGCCTATTGGGTATCGACTTGCGTTTGATTCCGTGATTGTAGCGGTGGAGAATGATGCGACTGCTTTGTTGAAAAATATTCTTTCCGCTATAGTATTGTATGCATACTTGTGGGGTTTTATGTTGCTAGTGACTGGATTTTTAGGAGTTGGGCTCTTTATCACAAAAACCCCACAAGTATGCATACAATACTATAGCGGAAAGAATATTTTTCAACAAAGCAGTCGCATCATTCTCCACCGCTACAATCACGGAATCAAACGCAAGTCGATACCCAATAGGCACTCGCCATATCTTCCTCCTGTGGACTGAAATAAATGCAGAGATGCATGCAAATATGGGTATAATAACTTGAATAAAAAGAGATAAACCAGGAAGTTTCATGCGCCACTTGGCAGCCTTGCAGTCCTCTTTATGTGAACATGTCCAGTCAGTTGCGAATGGAATTCTAGTGTATATGATAGAAAACCAGAAGGGTGACCATGCCTTTTGTTTTGTTGTGGGTGTATTTACTAGACTTCTGAAGGAGACGTACGATACGTATGTCAATAAGCGATTCATTCGCTTCCTGTCTGGTATCAACATGTAGACGTGTAGTGTTGCTGTTGGTGTTTGCTTTATTTCGGAATTGGTGTGCTTTTTGTTGGAACATGGATGTTGGAAATAGTGGATAAAAGTACTTTGTTAAGTTTNGCTGATATCACACTTTACACATCATGCATTAGAAAACTACAATAACTTGTAGTATCCAAACAAAAACAGAGTATCTAATCCCCCATACTTCCCTAGATGAAAAAGGCAACTCATTGAGGACCTAGTTCAATCATAAGAGAACCCTTTTACACATTTTCATTCACTGTTGCTATTAGGTTGAGATTTTTAGAGGATTTTCATTTCCTGATGCACTCTAGTAATACTATGGTGTTCACTACATTACTCAGCACAAACTCTCATGCCAACATCACTATAAACATCCACAATCCATCCATCAACATGAGAATCTTGCCCAAGTTGATATATATACTTTTCTGAACTGTCAGGGCCCAGTATATATGCACGTAGGACACTGATAATGTCGCATTTATGCTAACACACTAAAAGATAAAAAGAAACAAAAAAGGAAACATGATGTGAGAAAATATAACAATTACTCAATCATTATCTGTTTCCTCTCAAGTAACAGACCAAGGAATTCAGTTCACTCAAGTAGACCAAAAATAATCAAATCTCCACTCCTACTAAGAATCTTACCTTGCCTCAGCCACGTAGTTTAGGACATTAGGCATGCTTTCCATGCCACCAGCCACAACATCATTGATACCCGGCTGGATACTTTGTAGGGGAAAAGACGTAATATTCAACACGACAAGTATAAGGTATTCTCATTAGGTTAAGGTATTTTTGTCATAACATATAATGCACGTGCCTCTATTAGGTCCATAAGAAAATCTTGGTTGTGCGGTTGTACTTAATTGCAAGATCCAACTTTTCATTCCAGTGGGTCAACTTTGTTGACAGTAGTGCGAACAACCACATTAGGGGTACCCACGTCTAATTCTGCCTGCCTAGCTGGAGCCCGTCCTAAAGGAGCACTAAGTCCATTCCCGAGGAATACTTCTTGAACAAGTGAAGGATGGATATTGCTTTCTTCAGGGAACCTGAAAAGATGGAGCATACACACAAATACTAAAATAAAATAAAGAAACATAGGACTCCATCATATGATTGATAGAGCAATGGGTTTGGATAAGCACCGATTGCTTTCTTTTCTGAAAGTTTGCAGCCTGGTGTGCTTTGGCGCATATTATTTGTTTATACTTGATAATGCATTCCTTATACATAGAACATTATAGGTGCTCAACTTCTGACCAGTCTCACTTGCCAGAAAATTTACAAACCTGTTCATTCAAATTGGACCACTGGAAGATGTGTATTTGTAGATGGGTTGAAGATTGGGACTTCCACCAAATATCAAAATGCAAGAGGTATAGACATTTGTAGTTGTAGTCTTGTGGTCATAGACGCCTAGTTAAAGCTTTTCTTTGTAACTAAGTAATTCTCTATGTTCCAGATGTCAAAAAGTTGTACATCAAGAATGTTATGTAGTGAGAATGTTATGTGGGTTTGCCAACTTGAGAGGGAAGTTTTGCTGTCTCTGTTCTGTAAAAGGCATGTTTAATATAACTTGATTTTTTTTTTTGGTTAAAATTATGTGATTTGAATGAAGGTCTCCGAATTTTTCTAATTGAAAACTGTTGAAGCTTGGGTGCCCTGAAGCCAACTGATCTTGATGATTTATGGCCTCATGTTACCTGCGTTTGGTATCAGCCAAAAGTTGATTTGCTGAATGCAGAGCAAATGAAGGCTGCTGCTGGGATTCTTAATATTCCACCAAACTCAGTTTACTAATGTGTCTGTATATGAATAAATTCAATTCATACTAAAAATTTAACTCAACTTTAACTCAACCCCACTATCTTCAATATTATCAATATAATAAATAATATCAACCAATCATTTTTACGCAGCACATCAACTTTAATTCACTATTCATCCACTCACATAATTTTAACTTACCATCACTTCGTACCATCTCTCACATACATTTATATAAAACTACTTTAATTATATTTTAAATATTTTTTTAATATAAAATAAAAATCCCACTAACAACTAATCATATCACTTTTTTTAAAATTAACTTTGATTAACCAAAAAAACTCGTTCTGAGCGGATATATTTGTATACAAACATGCCCTAAGGTTGAACTATTTAGAGGATTAGCATATTGGTAGTTAATTGTTGATTCAAGGTCTCCTCCAGAATATATTTGTTGAACTGAATAGATGACTTGAGTGATGGTGTTGTATACATCTTTTCCCAACTTACAAAAGAAGTCCCAATATTTAGATTTCATCAGGTGTGTCTAGTTCAACTGGTTTTGCTATAAATTTGCTGTCATCTATGTGAACTATAAACTGAAGTACTCGGTTTCTACTTGGTGCAGTGATTGAATGATTGTGTTATTATCTTACTTATATTAGGTAGAATTTTATTTACATCAAGGCATGTGTTATTGCAAGCAGATTCACGTTTCTTGCAGGCAGTGTTACAAGTGTGCTACCTATTTCCATGTGCTTTTAGTTATGAATACTATATTGCTGTATGGACACACATGTTGACATACAGTATGCTCCGTACATGAGATGAAAAATAATAGGATCATGGTACGACTAAACCTCTACTGCAGGGGACCTACAACTATTTAAGTTGTGATTCTAATTTGAATATAACCATGTTTAAGGATTATTTTATCTTGTCCAATTGCAATATGATCATTTGTTGAAACTGCTGATTATTTTATCTTTATCCTAGAATGTGATACTGCTGATCCTATACTTTTGAAATCTTTATCATATGCCGTCAGGCAACACCAACTCCACCATAGGCCATAATTAATGCTCGATTTGAAAGTAGTAGATTTACTCAGAGTTTCTTGTTTCAGCTTAAGCTTTTTTTGGCCTTTTTCAGACATCGATTGATGTAATTTACCCAAGGTTGGGGACATGAGTAATTTACCATATATGAAATTTACCCAAGGTTGGCCTTTTCATACATCGATTGATGCTCCATTCTCCATCAAGTTGTCATCCCCATGTCAAAAGCCTTATGTTTTTTCTCTATTTTCTCATGTTGAGAGTTAGTTTTTTCTGTTTTATGTTTTAAACGTAAGTCTCGTAAATGCCTTTTTTAGTTTTTGCGTTTTCTTTGTTAGTGGGCTTATGAGGAACGACGTCGTTTCTTCATAGTGCATGTTAGACGTGTCACGTGAGTAGTACGTACACTACAAGAGGTCGTCGTCTTCCTTTTTCCTCAATCTGTTGTGCTCGAGTTTCTACACTATTTCTTATCTTTTATGGTTTGGATTATGCTTACTTATTTTATTATTTTCTTTCTTCATTCCATTTCCTTGTGTAGTTGATCTCTTGCCTTCCCAAATCTTCCCAATTTTATTCTTTCCTTCATCACTCCAATTAGTTCTTTATCCCCAATGCCTCCATCAAACTTTCTTTCCTTCATCACTCCAATCAGCAGCGCCAATTTGAATAACTACGTAGATATCGAACTGAGGATAACTTCAGCATGCATGTTGGGAAAATTATGTACTGAGAGAGTTAGATACAAACTTTGTCATATAAGAAATTCAGCAACACTCGATATACATTAGGCCCGATCCTCTGCATTTCATGCCTCATGTCTGGAATTCAGAGGAAAAAATTTCCATCCTCTGCAGGACTTGAGCATTCCTCAACAGATACTTCACAACACTAAGATTATTATTATTTCTTAGACACGTTGGTAGGCAATTGTTTGGCCAACACAAAAGGAGATTCTATATCTAATGAAATCGGATGGAAGAAAGAAAAAAGAAGAAGATATATGTAAGTACTTTATTGCTAAAGAAAACTTGAAATGCTTGGCAAACTCGACTTGAAGATTATCAGCAACTCCCAAGGAAATTTACGAGCAAATGCCATTTAACATCATACACTTGGAGTTCAAGTTTGGTTATATTATTAAACTTTAGACTTGATTCTGCAACTTCTCTATCAACAACCTGCAAAAGAAGTTCAACTTTAGAAATACAAAAAAATCACATGACGGAAAGTAATAACAATGGCATGATGGAAAGTAACAACGTACATACCTCATGATTAGAGTTGTAGCCGGATAGGTTTAGGCCCTTGGTGTCACAAATACAACTAAGAAACTTGACCTCATAGGAGCAGTTGCTGTTGGTGGAACACTCTTTGAAGAAGATTTCCACCTCGAATAAGGGATTCATATTGACTGGAATACCTATACGAGAACCGTGCAAGTGGAGATGCCTAAGCGCCGGGGCATTTATTATCATCTGATATTTGGCGCGCTTGTATCCGGAGAAAGTCAGCAACCAGTAAGGTTCAAGAGTGACCCTAAGCACTTTTAACGAGGATGATGATATATTAAGACTTAAATCTTCGGTTTCCCATCGATTAAAGATCAACTCCTCGAGCTTAGGAGAGCCGTAAAGCAAGTTGGGAAGGGTGTCGTCGCCCTCAAACCCAACATAGTTGAGATAAAGCTTCCTTAGGCTAGGAAAACACACATCTGCACTCGACGGGATGCATTTACACAACCGAAGTGTCATGTCGACAACAGTTTTGCAGGTGAAGAGGGGTGTTCTCGGCCACATTACACGACCATAAAAGTTAAGATCAAGATTCCGGACGTTACGCTTGATGGCGGTGGCAAGCAATTTATCGAATTGATAGTTGTCGCCGTAGTTCATGTTAAACGTGAAAGTGGTTATGCTCTTGGCCTCGTGTTGTAGTAGAAAATGGCGGATGATGGTGTTCGAATACGGTGTTTTTCTCCAGTAGAATGTTTCGTCGAAATTGAAACAGGGGACACGGGTCCACAGGAATCTCCACCTACTAGCTAGAACGCTGGTGGCAACCGAGAATTTGGTCGGGAGGAAAGAGAGAATGTGACATATAACGTCGTCCGGCAACCCGCCCAGCCTATCGATTTTATGGGGTGCTCTACTGAATTTGGTCAGGAGGAAAGAGAGAATGTGACATATGAAGTCTTTCACCCTATCGATCGACGGCATTTTATGAAGCTTTTGGCGGTGAGTGTACAGCCGTTCAAGAGCTGCTTTTTAATTTGTACCAAGATCTTCTTCATCTTCATGAGATGGGGATCTTCTTATTGTAGACCAAAGCTAGAGATATTATGGTAAGCGTCCTAAATTATGTGCACGAAATCCGGGGGAGATTGGGTTAGAAAGTGAATCAAATCTCTTCCTTGTAAAGGATTAATAATTTGCTCTCACTGACCAATGTTTTCATAGGTATACTTCTCTAAACTTCTATGCTTAATTAAAATCGGATATATTCATACTAACTTCGGAATATTCCAAAAATCACAGTTAAAATTCCCGTGCCAATTACTTTATTTAATAATGTTGAACCCGGATCAATAAGTACTGCGCTGATTTACTTCTATCATTGATTTCTGGTAAGCTTCAGTAATTTTTATTCAGCCAACAATTAATAATAATAGTAGTTTATTTAATAAAAAAAGGTGTCATTTAATAAATATATGATCACACACGATTTATTTTGACATGTCCCATTTTTAGATGGTGTCCATTTTTGTAATGACTTTTTATGTCTTGAAATACAAAATATTTTTGTTTTTATTTTGATACTATATATATTTTGGTATTATATAAATACATATTTCACAACTAATTAAGAATGGCTACAAATATATCTATTTTCTATTGCAGTCATACAATAATAAAAAATATTCTTTTAGATATTACAAAGATACATCAAATATTTATATTTGAAATTTGAAGTATACTCTCCTTGATCAATAGCCATCGTAGAAGGAATCTCATTAATCCTTATGCATGTCAATGAGACGTTTTGCTACATTAACAGAGTCATAGTTACCCCTGCAAAAAATGGCTAGCAAATGCTTAAACAAACACAAAGAAACAGCACACTGAAACAAACTGGCTATATACACCAAAAAACACTAGCAACCATTTCACGAGCCAAGTTCCTAATCATACCGTAAATAACAAGTGAAATATGTAACAGATAACATCCTATAAATGGGTAGTCAAAGTTCCAACATAGTACTGAAAATAGCACGCGCAAACCGGAGGGAATCCCTGAAATTGCGAGTCATGTTCCTACTTTATACAGAAAAATAACAAGTGCAGACTCAAGTTCCTACAGTCTACTGGAAATAACAAAAGCAACTATGAATCAGAGAGAATCCCAAATACAGTTTGGAAATACTTGAAAGCTCCCAAAAGACACAACCTCAAAGCAATCCCGAACCCAAAACTTTCGTGAGACCCCAACAGATTAAACATAGTCACATCTTGGGCCGACAAACATCTGTCAACTCAGCCGCTTGCTCGGGGCCTGACCTCCGGAACCCTTTTCTTGTGCCGGGCTACTGATTCTCGATACGCGGGACCTCAGCAATGGCTCGTAAACAAATGAATTCCCCTGCATATTGGTTTTGTCAAGGGAGAACATCAAAATAAACCCCCAAAGCCAAAGCCCCTCCATGTTTATATATAAGTACAAACAGAGAATCGCCAAACCCCTCCATGTATAATGAGAAAATCGAAATTTTAACGGCTTATGTTGATTGATTCAACAACAACAACAACAACATACCCAGTATATTCCCAACAGGTTGGGGTCTGGGGGGTCAGTTGTACGCAGACCTTACCCTTGTGATTATACAAGGAGGTTGTTTCTGAAGCGACCCAAGGTGCATTGCGCCGTTTGATTATATATATATATATATATATATATATATATTTTCTAGAAACTTCACATACCCGTTTGATTGATTGATATACCAAAAAAAAATCTGAGAAGATCAAAACTCACACGCACACACACAGATACGTTAAGCAAGCAGTCCCCCATATGTTAACCCTCCCACACATATACAGCATCACAATGAATCACCAAACTCCTCCATGCATCATGAGAATATCAAAATTGTCACATATATACAAAATTTACCGGAGTATATCAAAACTCACACGCACACACACGGATACCTTACGCAAGTAGTCCCTCGAGACACGCCACCCACCATAGAAAAAGTTCGGCATCCTGCCCCAGACATCAGCCAAGACATCCCTGACCCGCCACACAACCTCAGGAAACTCGGGCACCTTCATTTTGGCCACAAAATCCCGAACAAACTCGACCCATTGCTTGAATAAAAGAAGTAATATGCATTTATCAACCGCAAGGCCATCCCTGACTTTTCGTGCTTGTCGGCGACAAATAGCAACGGGTTCAGGACAACTGTGAGACCGATATTAGCCACGTCGAAATGTTTGATAGATACCACAGCCGAATTAACTAAAGCCATAATGTGGAGGAAAATGAGGTTGACCATGACCAGTTCCCAGCCATCCTCCGAGTACATGGCCAGCGCAATCGGTACAGGGTAGTACAACGAGTTGAGCACGATACTGAAAAATACTCCCAGCTCGATTTTCCGAATGTGGTGTGTAAACGGCAGCAGGAGTAGGATGAAGATGTATGCTGAGGTGCTTGTTACCACTTTCAACAGCTTCAACGGGTAAATTTCTCCATCCCGCGCGAGCTGAACACCGACCAGAGCAAGGAAAGAGAGCGAAGCCGTGATACTCCAGCACAGCCTCCTGCTGATTTCACTACAAACGAACAAAGAGAGGAGAAATTAAGCAGCTGGAAAATAAAGGTGACTGCGAAAATCGAACCGGTTACCATCGCTCAGCCGCGGCTAGGGTTCGTGCTGCGACGGGAGGAGGCGGCGGGATTCCTTTGCTCGAAGGATTCAGCGGCGGTGGAGGGACAGGAAGGATGTCGGAGTCGGCTGGTGGTTGTTCGGGGCTCGGCAGTGGTCCTTCAGCCGCCGGTGGCAAGCGGCTAGGGTTCTCCAGTGCGGAGAGGTTGGAGACGTTTGGTGCGAGCTCAGGGCCGCCGGTGGGGGAGGGTGAATGGAGCATTGTCGGCGTCGTTAATGGGTTAAATGAGAAAATCGGTCTGACGATGGGTCGCAAATCGAAATAGATTTCATTTAAACCAAATCCCTTGGGTCCCAATAGATCGCTCTTTGGGTTAAAGAATGGAAGGCCAATGTCTGGACCGGTGGAAATGGGCCGCCAATAGTGACACCTTGACACTTGACCGTAGTAAATGAATGAGCCCCTTTGCACCCTCTACAATTCAAAACCATTAATACGAATCACGTGCGATGTACGGATAAGAGATACATATTAACATTTATATTAAACGATGGGATATACGTTAATAACATAAAACGTAGAGAACTAAAGTAAAACACAACCACACGTATGTTTATATATTTGAAAATAAACTTAAAACTATTACCATTTACTTTTGAAAATCAATATTGTCAACATCTTGCTCCTTAACAAAATTATAGATGTCAAAATAAAACGTTGGGAAATCGGTAGGATACTTCAACACTTTGCAGTAATAGATTGTTATTTACCACTTTTACTTTCTACCATCCTCGAACTTATCACTCATCTTTGTAATGTTAACATCACGAATTAGTCCAGTTATGCGACCCCCTTGTAAAATCGCAATACAAAAATAATATTTTCGTCAAAAAATATTAAAATAATAAATATTGACAACTATTATTAAATCACATCATGAAGAATACTAACATCACTATCGTGGAAAACTATTTCCAAATAACTTCTGTAAGAGACATCAACATCTCATCTATTATGAAAATAAAATAAATACAAACAATGAAAAATATATATTATTAAACACTTCTCTTTATACAATATTTTTTATTTAAGAAATATTATTAAACCTTACGGTTTTGATTTTTCTTTTTAAAAAATCAATTATCTAATATATGATTGTTAATATACAAAAAATAATGGAAAGAATCCAGATTTTAAAGTAAAGCTATTTTTTATTTTTTTACAAATCAAAATCATCCAAATTTTTTTAACTTCAAAAACATTTGGCATAAATCAAATTATACAAATGATTAATTAGTTAAAATATTTTATTAATTATATTTTAAGAAATCCGATTATATAAATGTGGATAAAAAAATATTGTACTAATATTTTTTTTAGGAATGTGATTATATGGAAGTTAAAATAAATGAAATGTAACCATAAAATCTTTTCGTGGTCTTTTCCTTTAAATGTTTGAATTTAAAAATCCAATAACCAAATTTAAATTATATCACATAAGGAAGAAATAAATAATTATGTTTATGAATATATTTAAAAATTAATTTTGAATTTTAAATAGAGTAAAAGACGAAATAATTCGAATTTGTTTTCAAAAAATTTTTAAAGTGTTAAATATTCTGGTAAGTATACCCATAAGAATAATCTTACTATTTAAATTTCAATAATTTCAGCAAGTTTGTTAATGAGATAAATTCGATTAGACAAAATATTAATTAATTAAAATATTAGTTTGTTAGAAATGCGATTATATGGAAGTTAAGATAAAATGGAATGTACCCAAAAAATTTGTTTGTGATTTTTTCCTTTAAATGTTTGAATTTTAAAATCTAATAATCAAATTAGATTATATCACGTAAAGAAAAAAAATAAATAATAAACTTTTATTATAAAATAGATTAATAATATTTATCACTTAGATAATAAATAATAAATATTTATACGTAAAAAAATTTATGAAAATGCATCACATGCACCATGCAGAGTGAAGTACTAAATATACATTAAAAAAATGTATTATAACTGTTAGGCTTACAAATATGAAATATTGAAATACAGAAATTGCTGATTTAATTTACTTATTTTTTGTTCTATGCAATTGATCTTAGGATCACCTCTGCATATCTCATAAATTTTCTTTCATGCGCAAATAAAGTATAAAACATTAAAACTATCATATATTTCATACTTAAATAAACAATAGTTAAAAGCAGAAACTCATAACAGGTAAAAAACACTCATTGGAACAAAAATCTCATGGATCATAGACCTTATTGGGCATTAAGATCACAAAATCTTCATTATTTGTTACATTTCCCCATTCACTCATTAAGAACATAACCAAAATGATTTTTGTTCTTATTTGCTACGACTCACTATAATCTATACACTAATACACATTAGTCCATTGCAATTTCACCAAAAAA